AGAGTAGTTATCAATGGTTCTTTGTCAAATGGGGACACACCTATTGGAGTCCTGCAAGCGCCTCTCCTGGGTACAGTACTATTCAATATTTTCATTAATGACTTGGATAATGAAGTAGAGAGTGTGTTTATAAAATTTTCAAATGACACCAAACTAGGTGGAATTGCTAGCACTTTGAAAGACAAGATTAGAATTCAAAACGACCTTGGTAAAGTGGAGAATTGGTTTGAAATCAACAAAATGAAATTCAATTAAGACAAGTGCAAAGTAGTACACATAGGAAGCAAAAATTAAGTGCACAACTACAAAATGGGGAGTAACTGCCTACATGGTAGTACTGCTGAAAACAATCTGAGGGTTATAGAGGATCACAAATTGAACAATTTGATGCAGTTTCAAAAAAGACTAACATAATTCTGGGCTGTATTAACAGGAGTGGCATATGTAAAACACAGGAGGTAATTGTTCCACTCTACTTTGCACTGGGTAGAGTGTTGATGAATAGATGAGGCTTGGATCTGCCATATTAAATGCTAGAATCTGGTCCCAGATCTCTGTGATCTCTGTCTACTAAGGGAATAGCATAAAGGGAACATAAAGTGGTCAGGATGGCCCATGCTAGAATTCCTCCAGCACTTAGGTCACTGAACCATTGTCCCTATCCAAGGATGCCAGCCTTTCTAGCCCAAGAAGCTTTTCATAGGCAGACTTTTTCACAAGCACCCTAGCACTATCTCCATTGTTGCATAAAAATCAACAAAACTATTAGATTATCTTCCTTCAAATTTCTTTGTAAAACCTGCTTCTGATGTGATATCTACAAAACACTCTGCAATGGCTAGGCAGACAGTATAGTGTTATTGCTCTTTACTACACCAAACAGAAGAAATACTTCAAAGACACTCAAGCATAACTTGAAATAGGGCAACATTGACGTTGACAACTGGGAGTCATCGACAGCAGGTAGATCATGCTGGCGAGCCATAGTCAATGATGGGGTTACCCAGTTTGAGATTAGCCACCATATGGATCTTGAAGCACAGAGGCTGAGTCGTAAACAGCAGCAGACTCAGCAGGTATAGATTATAATCCCTTCCTCAGCATAAAGCGATCTATGCACTTCATGTGGGAAGGACTGCCACTTGTGCATGGGTCTTTTTAACTACAACTGTACTTTCAAGGAGTTAAACCGTTGCCAGTGTCATGTTCGGTCACAAAAAACAGTAAAACACCAATCATAATTGTCTCCACTATATGCTTGTTCTTACTCCTGTCTGTTTGTTGTATCCACTTGTTTTCTCTAGTCTTGTTTCTAAATGGTAAGTAAAGCTGACAGGACCACAGAATTTCCCCTCCAGGATCAATTATGAATAAGAAGTTTTGTACAGATTTGGGATGAAAAGTCAAAAAGATTCTAATTTTTTTTGGCGGGAGGAAGTATCTCAGATTCCCTTCTAGGAGAAGAGAAATGGAATTTTTCTGCTTGCTGCCTGGGCAGCCTGGAAAGCTGTGGAACCAGGAAACCCCAGCTGCCAATGCCCCAGCTAGGCTGACAGCGACAGATTTGGGAAATCTGGAAACCTGGGCTCCCCAGTAGCTTGCCAGGCAAGGAGACGCAAAGCTTGGGAGCTTTCATTTACATTTTCCCAATGGAAGACCAAATGTTTCCAGCAAAATCAAAGTTTTCCATGGGGAAAATTTTGATTTTTGTGGAAACTGCATTTTCTATTGGAAAATCATTCTGACATAAAATTAATGACCAGCTGTAATTGTAAACTCTTTGGGGCAAGGAGCATCTTTTAATTTTGTATGAACAGGGCCTAGCATGATGGGGCCCTGAGACCTGAATGAGGCACCAGACACTATCACAGTAAGATTAACAAAAATCCTATTCTACAGCAAATTCAACTTCAGAAGGATAAGAAAAACAAATTCTATAACAAATTCAATTTTAGAAGGATAAGAAAATGAACTATCTTCCAAAATCCTCTTTCTAGCATTGTTTCTATAAAGCTTATCTTTAATGAAGATAAAACCAAATTGTTTGTCTTAAAACATGAATATTAGTTCTCCAAATCCCCTTTAACTCCTCACAGAGGTCAAGATGGCACATCTGCTCTATGCCTAGAACTCTTGCTCCTCTGTCAGAGTTACAAAACTAACCCTCTTTCTGTACACTCTCATAGTAGTAAGTGCTATGCAGGTATAGACCCCATATGATGAAAACAAATGACATCGCTGCAGTATATACTGGCAGCCATTTTGTAAGGGGCTGGTCAACACTGTTAAAAGGATGCAGGGAGAGATAAAAGTAACTTCAGGTATTGCCCTGCCATTGAGTCCCCCCTTCCAATTTTTGTGGCTTTACTACATTTTCCTATTTCTTAAAATGTTTTTTCTCTGTCCTGTGGCTTTGTTGAAAGACCCACACAGACAAGAAAAAAAATGACCATATGGGGGAACTGTGAAACTGAGTCTCTAATGTGCTGGCATATGTGTAAAGTAAATTGGAAACATTTTTCTGATATTTCAGTTCTTGAGTTCTGAGTTTTTAAGACTAGGTATATTTTTTAAGTTGGCAGTGCTGCTTCAACAAATGGTGTTGAGCCCAATACAAAAAGGCACGGAGAAGGGTTTCTTTATAGCTTTGCATATGATTTACATTGTTACCTTTATTGATGTTTCTACATCAGTTAATTTCCTAGTGTTCTTACCACAGTGGGTTATAAGCTTTGTAGTTCTTAATTCTGTAATGCACAAGAAATGTAAATAAGCAAACAAAACCCTATGTTCAGAATCTGTTCGTCAGTAATTTGACTTGTAGGAAATAGAAAGTTAAGAATTATACACAGTAATTTTCAAATAAGGTCAAAGGGGACTGAACTGTTCTTTGCACTGCATTGGCTCTGCCTCGTACACTCAGGTAGATGGACCCCATATAGCCAGACCTGGTCTTATATATGTACCTTTTCTGTTTGTTTGTTTGTTTGTTTCAGACCTTCTGCACAGTTAAACAGAGTGAAAATCCATTGATGTTGTGTGCATATTTGCATTTGCCCGTTTTGTGTTTTGCTCTGTTAGGAGAAGGGTGGGATGAAAGTGGAGTGTTCTCTATATGTATATATATCTTCTTGCTATATGTTCCATTCTATGCATCTGATGAAGTGGGCTGTAGCCCACAAAAGCTTATGCTCAAATAAATTTGTTAGTCTCTAAGGTGCCACAAATACTCCTGTTTTTTATCTGGGAATCTGAGCCTTAACTTATTGAAGTTCAGGGTGAAGGTGCCCCCTATAATAACTAATACTCCCTTCTTCTCTCCCCCACCCCTTGTGTTTACACCTAACTGTAAATCAAGAGTGTATTGAAACTCATCCTTCTGCCGTACCAGAAAATATATACAAGAATAGCTTGACCATTGAAAGGATGTGGCAAGCACACTCCCCTCCCCACAATACTTTCTTAACAAGATACATTCAAGTAGCTCTGCAAAAGAGTTTGATGTTCCTTAACGATGACGGGTAAAGAATTTAAAAAATGGGTTTCTGCCCTCTCACTGCTTCTTTTAAAAGATAGCAAGAAGGCCCCACAGCTGTTCCAAGCTTGTTTTCTGTGGTGCCTTTTTTTTTTTTTTTTTTTAATTTGGTTTAATTTAGTAATTGATATTTCTGATGTTTCTGTCCGTCTTGATTTTGCTGGAGTTGTCTTTGGAGGGGCCCAGAGGAGCTTTCTCAGCTTTTATTGGAGGAGTGGCATTATTGAATTTTTTAACAAAAAGAACTTCCTTCCAAGTTGTTTGTTGAGGTTTAAATTAAATGCATTGTTATGAAAAACCAAGTCTTAGACCATCTGAATTAAAGACCTTTCCCCTCTCAGTTGTTCAGCTTTCACCTTGTGCTGTGATCTAATTTTATATGTGTTCTCCAACCATTCAATCATTCAGTAAAAGCAGATTAACTAAACCGCAAGTTTCTAATGTAAAATAAATAAATAAAATAAGCGAAACACTTTTTATTTTTCCAGGCTTCCTTTATACATCAAAGGTGTTTCCATACTTAGAGACTCTGTAAGCACTTTTTCTTCAGTAGGGCAGCTCAGCCAGTGCTCTCAGGCTTAGGTGTCGTGTCAAAAATGCCTGAGTCCTCTCCCCAAAAAAGCACAACCCATTTTTCCTATGTAGATCACCTTTAACTTTCTATTACAAAAGAAAAAATAATGAATAAAAAATCCTTCTGATAAACTTTAATGTGCCCTTTGATTATTTAAACACTTTATTTCCATAAATTATTCAGCTAAATCATAGTAGTGTGTTTGTGATAGCAAAAATACCACTGCCATCTGTAAAGGGAAGAGACAAGTTATGTCTCTCAGTCATTATCAAAAGCTGGTCTTGACCACGTATCTGTCTTTTCTCTGTCTAACAAACAATATTGCTGTTAAAAATAGCATGCAGGGCAACAAAGAGATATTTCTAAGAGCTTATTAAAATATGGTGACAATCTAGTGACCTTTTTCAAATATCAAATATTGTATAAGAAAACTTAGAAGTTGTACACAAATCTTGTGTTGCTATCAGAATCCATGGATGAAGCATCTGTGTGAACATTTCATAGGTTTATGAATATGCTTATATTGCCTATAGTTATTTGTTGTTTGAGAGAAGTTACATTTTAGAAACCACACATTTCTATTTTGAAAAGAGAAAATCTCTTAGAACACCATGCCCAGGATGCAAAAATATTCACTTAGCTCTGCAGAGAGTTTGTAAATCTAGGTGTTCATGGGAGAAATGGTAGGTACATTCTCTCCTACGCATAATGATTTTGTTTTAAATGCTCAGTATCCCAGTTGCTGATAAAAATGATATCCTGACCTTAAAGAAACCTAAAATAGTAAATATATTCCTTTGTAAATGCAAAGAAATAATGCTTGCTAGATTGTCATAACTTATTAGTATTCTACATCTCAGAAAGCTCCAACATAATGTATTGTGTTTTCAGGAGCTATGTCAATGCCGACCTGGCGAAGGAAACTGTTCCTGTTGCAAAGAGTGCATGCTTTGCCTAGGCACACTTTGGGATGAGTGCTGTGATTGTGTTGGTAAGTTCATTATTTATTACCTACCACTACTGCTCATTGCATCATTTCTGTAATTAGATTGTAAATTCTTCAGGGCAGGATCTATATTAAATATTTTAATAAATAGCACATTGTGGGAGCAGAATAGCTAATTATAAGCAGGGCCAGCTCTAGGTTTTTTGCCGCCCCAAGCAAAAAAAA